GCCTTATCACAGACTCTTTTGATATTGCCTGACTATAAAAATCAGCAAAGGGAAAATTATCTCTTTAAAAAAAACACCTAAGTTTAAAAAGTTGAACTTCAGAGTCAAAAAAATCTTTTCGCAATGAGAAAAATAAATTCAAGTGTCGACAAAACGCACCCAGATAAGTCCATAAGCAACACCGGTCCTCAAGTGATGCACTGCAAATTTTTCCATGGGGCGTCAGCAGCTCTCACGCTGTCGAAACACCAACCCCTATGAATTCAACGCGCTGATGACTGCACTGTTTTCTGAAGAACTTGGCAAGATGTTCAGCATTATTAGAGAAGAGAGGAAAAACAGCAGAATTTAGTCCTTTAATATCCTTTCTTCCGGCAACTGAAGAAACATCCCAGTCTCATCAAGATAACTACAGACACTTCTGTCACAGGCAGGATGATGACACAGGAAGGACTGATGGGAAGAATGGCCAAGTCCACATGTCTGAATCCAAACTCACCATTGGAAATGTTTGGGAGTTAGAGCTGTTCTGAGACACATGCAGGATCCTGCCGTTCTCCCCAGTCCCTCAAGAAAAGAGCTGGCTGTGTCCTGCCCCCAGCAGGGACCTGTCACCCAGAGCTTCACCCCAAAGACCGGGCGGTCCCAGGCCAGCAGCAATGCCAGGACCAGGTGCAGGCTGGGCAACGACCTCACACCAAATTTAGGAGCTGTGGATCCCACCTTCCTGTTCCTCCCTGTTCGGGTGTCTTCAGCACAGACCTGTATTGGTTCAGTAACTCTTGATAGATTATTTTTTCATTAATCTGCCTACTCCCTTGCTGGAAGGGATGAACTTCCAAGCCCGGGGAGCAGCCCGCAGGAGCAGCATCCCGCTTCCATCGGCCAGTAACACCGTCCTTCCAGGCGACGCAGCTTCATATGCCGAGACAGTCAAACTGCCAGTGTGCTTTGATGTTTTATTCCCATTTGTGGAAACCAGGTCTCCAGCCTCCCTCGGCCACCCGAAGAGCTCCACTCTGACCTGCGGGTTGTTGCGGCGTTACCACCCAGCTCAGCCACAGCAGCACCTTCACACGAACGTGCCGGAACGCCCCCGCCTCTCGTCCTCGCCTCCGCTGCACTGGCGAGAGTCCACTGCAGCCACATCTCCTCTGACCAGAGCAATTTTCAGCAATTGAGCTGTTATCAGTAAGGTAACCTGAGTTTAACTTCTCCAGAAGGTCTCCTCTTCAATTTCAGTCTTCAACAAGCTTTGGCCAAAGGTTTTCTGAACAGTAAGGAAAAGCTAAGCACGTAATACCTTAAAAAACAGGTCAGGACACTGAATTATCTAAGTAGAAAAACTTTCCTCTTTTTCAGAGTAAATAATTCTTTCTGGAGAATAATTTTCCTTCTTTCTTAACAAAAATTGCCATGTCAGTTAGACAGAAATGACTCAGGATTTTACAATAAAATTCTGATGCAAAAAGCGTGTCTTAAAACCAGACTGTAACACAGCAAGTAGGAGCGAGAAAGAGTCACTGCATGCTCATGTGCGAGCGTGAACACGCGTGTGTGTGTGTGTGTGTGTCCCTTCTTCCAGCGATGGGAACATGGAAGCAGAACATCCCACCCCCATGAGGCACACAGACCAGATTCACGGCGTCAGCACCGGCAGTGGACTGGCCGATCTGTCGGGGAAGCGCATCCACCGTAACGAGAAAGGACGGCGCTTGCAACGCTGCGGAACGCCGTACCTGACAACCCACCAGGAGCACGCTGCGGGGCCACGGGAACACGGCGTGGGTGCCCCAGCGAGGGCAGGGCAGGCAGGGGCCCCCGCGC